ATCATTCCCAATGGAGCTACCCCTATCATCCTTCTTTGTTTTTTTTTTTTTTAATTAGTCTTGTCCTACACACATTTATTCATTTTTAATTGGAGCTTTCCACACATAAAGGTGGAATTCACTGTGGTATATTTATACAACACGTAGTGTAATTTTGTCAAATTCATCTGACATTTCCTCCCTTCTCCCATCCCTCCTTCTTCCCCCTCAGTTTCCTATTCCACTAAATTTCCCTCTATCTTTATTTATTTTACTTTACTGTTTTTTTTTAATTACACATGACAGCAGAATCCATTTGGATAAAATTATATAAGCATGGGCTATATCTTACTCTAATTAGGACCCTATTCTTGTGGGTGGGCACATGATAAGGCTCCCTTAGGTGTTTTCATATGTAGACATAGGAAAATTATCTTAGATTTATTCTACTGTCTTTCCTATTCCTCTCCCCTCCCTTCCTTTCCTTCCCCTTTATCTAATCTACTGAATTTCTCTTCTTCTCCTTCCCCCCTTTATTGTGGTTTAGCTTCCACATATCAGTGAAAACATTTGACCTTTGGCCTTTTGGGATTGGCTTATATCACTTAGTTTGGTAATCTCCAGACCCACCCATTTACTGAAAAGTCTCATCATTCTTCTTTACCTAGGTATCATTTGTGGCGTTATGGCAAAAGCAATGGTTAACATTTATTGAGTCTTTCCAAGTGCCACACGATGCACTAATGCAATGCAGATTTTATCCCGTGGAATTCTCAGAACAACCTGAAGAGATAGGTACTATTATTATTCTGATTTTAACTGTTGAGGAAAACTGGGACCCCACTCAAGATTGCACAGCTGGAGTTAGGGGAAAACTAACCCACGCTGGAATAATAACTAGAGTTAAGACTCTCAGACCTGCCACTTGGTAGCTATTTGACTCCTGGCTGTCTTTTTTTTTTTTTTTTCCCAGTTGTATATGGGCTCAATGCCTTTTATTTATTTATTTATTTTTGTGCTAGGATTGAACCTAGTGCCTCACACTTGCGAGGCAAGTGCTCTACCACTGTGCTACAACTCCAGCCCTCTGGCTATGTGTTAACACCTCTGTGCTTTAATTTCTTCATCTGTAAAAATGAGTCAGCCCTTGGGCAATCAAATACAGTGATATGTGTTAAATACCTGGCACATACTAGAGCTAGCTATCATTTCCTCTGCTTCTTCCTCCTCCAAATTCTCCAGGGTGGAATCTGTTGTTTGGTAAACACTCTCTTTGGAGAGTCCCAACACTCTCCAATTCTCCAGGGTGGAATCTATTGTTTCGTAAACACTCTCTTTAGTGTCCCCATGGGTCACCGGAGAGTTCACTAAAATGCAGCTTCCCTGGCCTGTGTATCTGGGGTGGGGGCCTAGAGTTCACATTTTAAATATATCTTTCCCATTGATGGTACCTCGTCAAAGCTCAGATCACACTTGGAGAAATTAGACTGAAAAACGTCCCTCTCCAGTCTTTAGAATCCTGCAAGTTTCTTATAAACGTAATTGACAGTCATAAAATCTGAAAATTTTCCCATGTTACAAACCCACGTTGGGGCTGAGCATATAAATTAGTGTTAGAATTTATGCTGCATGTATAAGGCCCTGGGTTCCCTCCCCAGCAGCCCCCATCCTCCCCAAAGAAAGAAAAAGAAACATTTTTATATCTTTAGCTTTGATGTTAAGTTCAGAAAGTGTTTGAATGAATACAGTATTTTCAAAGACACTGACATGATTTCTTTAAACATTCTTTCTCAGGGAGTATCAAATTTGGAATTGAACTTCAAATAGCCAGGTGACAGCTGAACAGCACATTACATAGACCTCAGCTCTATTCCTGTGGATAGACAGGAAACACAGGAACACACAGAAATTCTTGTGTTTCCCATGTTCTTGATTCCTGTGTGTTTTTAAAGTTGTATGTACATGTCTTTACATATCTGGCAATGGTAATGGTATAAAGTATAGCCAAAAATTTTGTAAGATGGCCAACATGTAGATCCTATTTCAAGTAGCAGCATTAATTATAGGATATGAAAGTAGGATATATATAGAACATTTTGATTTGGGAGGGGATACTGGGGATTGAACCCAGAGGCACTTTCCCACTGAGCACTTTCCCAGCTCTTTTTATTTTTTTTAATTTGAGACAGGGTCTTGCTGAGTTGCTAAGGCTGGCCTCAAACTTGTCATCCTCCTGCCTCAGCCTCCTAAGTTGCTGGGATTACAGGCATGCACCACTGTGAAGCCCATTTTAATTTTTTGAGAAGAGGAAATTCAATGCTCAGCTATGCATTATATGTAGGTGAATTTGCTGTTGCTACACAGTTAATCTGTTTGCAAGTATTTGTTAGACCCTAAAGCTTAATTCAACTTACTTGGGATATAAACTTTGGTTGACCCTGGAAAAGGACTTTTTTAAAAACTAAAACCATAATTGTTTAATTATCAGTTCAATTACAAAGAAGATGTGTCAGGCATCATTTTAAGTTCACAACTAAAAAGAGTTGTTATCCACACCTTTTAAAAAGTGGGAAATAAGGGACAATTAAGTGTCTTCATAATTGGATTGTCACAGTGAAGCATTACCCATTTTGGATGACTTTCCATATCATTAAAGAATCCCATTTAGTTTGAAAGGGCAAAAAAAAAAAATACATTCAAAAAATAATCCAAATAGTGCAGGACCCTATTTTAAAATGGAAGAAGATAAGGTGGAGTCCTGGGGAGCTTGGCCCTGTGCCAAGAAGGGAAGCGCTCAGAAGGTCATGGTGCTCGGATCACCATCTCCACGCCCAGGACCCTGCACCCAGCCTCCCTCACCTGAGGATGTTCACTGGGGCCATAGAATGGTACAAAATGAGGAATAATGAAACAGCATAGTCCTCATGTCAATGTGTGGCCTTAAGCATAGCAGAAAGCCTCCACTTTGGGAGACGTCTCAGAAGGTGTAATTGCTCAGAGAGATTCCTCCAAAGTCCACCCTCCAGCGTCACTCTTATCTGTGTGGTGTGCATACTTCCTGATAACCACTGCATTTGTGCATGTCAGTTTTTATCACAAAGAGCATAGAAGAGATGGGTAGTAATATTTCATTGTGATGATTTTATTTTTTTATTTTTTAAGAGATTTTTCTCATTTTTATTTTATTTATTTTATGTGGTGCTGAGGCTCGAACCCAGGGCCTCACATATGCGAGGCGAGCACTCTACCACTGAGCCACAACCCCAGCCCTTAATGGTTTTATTTTTAAGTGCATATGTGTGACCATGGGATGCACTTGACATTTCTTTCTTTTTTTTTTTTTGGTACCAGAAATTGAACCCAGGGGTGCTTTACCACTAAGCCACATCCCCAGTCTTTTGTTTTGTTTTGTTTTAATTTTTTTTAAAATGTGGATGGACCTTTCTTTCTTCCTTTCTTTCTTTCTTTTTCTCTTTCTTTCTTTTTTGGTGCTGGGGATTGAACCCAGGGCCTTGTGTTTGTGAGGCAAGCACTCTACCAACTGAGCCATATCCCCAGCCCTTATTCACTTATTTATATGTGGTGGTGAGAATCTAACCCAGTGCTTCATACATGCTAGGCAAGTGCTCTACCACTGAGCCACAACCTCAGCCCTTTTTTATATTTTATTAGAGACACGATCTTGCTGAATTGCTTAGGGTCTTGCTAAGTTGCTGAGGCTGGTTTTGAACTCAGGATCCTCCTGACTCGGCCTCCCTACCACTGGGATTACAGGCATGCGCCCCCTCACTTGGCCTGCACTTGACATTTCTAAGCCTCAGTTTCTTCATTCATAAAATGGTACAAAATGAGGAATAATGAAACAGCATAGATGTAAAGATTAAATAAAATGAAATGATATGGAGGCCTCTGTCCCTTTTCTGAAAACTTTGGGGCCAACTGTGATTAGAGTTCAGGATTATTCATATTTGGAAAGTTACTATAATATATAGATCATACCTTACATTAAATTCCCAGCAGGCTCTGGGGTGTTACCTGCAACATCAGTTTTTTTCTTGTGGCAAACATATGACTATTCCTATAGTCTTTATAAATGTTATTAATGACTATAAATGGTGTATGTCAATCCAGGTCTGATTTGAAGTCAAATGAGTTTGTGCCAAACTTAGAAGAAATCTGTAAGGACTATAAAGAGAATTGCATTAGATCAAACCAGGTTGTAAGGCCAAATGAGTTTGGGGCACTTACCAAGAAAAAATATGGAACACATTTTATGAACATCACAGTTTGTGGATATTTTATTGTATCTCTCAACTCCCCAAATGCATTGAATTCTAGACTATTTGAAAAAATATAAAACACAGTCTGAAATAGAACAAGAGCTTTAAAAAAGTTAGAAATCTTTGACTTAAACATTAGGAAATCTGTGCCACACAGTGCAATAGGTTTATTGCATATTACATCCTTTACTTCAATCAAGATTGTACGAGGTTGGTATTATTACACTTAAGAGGAGAAAGGTAGTTACTTGAATACAGCCAAGGGGTGGCACTGAGTTTTGACCTCAAGAACCCTAGCTCTAGGGCTATGCTTTTGACCCCTATGTTCTACTAGATATTGGCCTTTTTGAGAGGTCAGAGGTGAGTCCAGTTCTTATTCCTACATTTTAGGGACACCTTTCCCAGAGTTAAATTCCTTTTAACTATGACAAACTTATTTGTTTACCCCTGGTTCATTTCACTAAGAAGCTGAGGTTGCTTATAAGAATACATGCAATCCCAGTGATTAAAATGAATAATCATGGGAATTGGAACAAGAGAAAATGCGCGAGATTTAGGTGTGGAAGTATTTTTACTCTCATGTACATGTATGGTAGTCTGGGTTCAATGTTATACATCAATAAAAATTTTACTTTATAGACCTTGGAGTCTGTCACAGTTCCCAGGTCATCTTGCAAGACTGCAGATATCCAATATCCCCTATCCACGTTGACATCTGCCATCACTGAATTTGCTTCACAGGTTTTTTTCAAAAACAAGCTGAAGTTGGCACTTATTGGCCAGAGCCTTTTTGGACAGGAAGTCTACAGTCACCTCCGGCAAGAGGGCCACCGAGTAGTGGGGGTGTTCACAGTTCCAGACAAGGATGGCAAAGCTGATCCACTGGGTGAGTGCTCTTGGGGTGCATGGATCAAGAACTCTCCCATCCGGGCTGGCGATCAGAGCTGGTACAGCAGCTCCGCATTGCTCACAATGTGCATGCCCTCTACTTGTTATTTAGCCATGACCTTGGCAGGGCTTCGATCTCATGGGCCAAGGAAGCTGCCTCAGCCCCAAGTAAGTTTGCATTCCAGCAAGCAAGAAAGGCAAGAGGGGAAGCTGAGGTTAAACTTTTATTATGGGCATAATCCAGAGGTTGCATTTGATTGTATTTTCAGAGGAGACAGAGAAACAGAGATTTTATTGGGGGGTGTATATATGTTCAAGTCAGCTAAGGGAATCCATTGCTAAAGGATGAATGGGGGACTAGCACTCTCTGTCGTGTTCATGGGTTTCAGAACGGCAAGCATTTGACTTTCAGGCCTCATTTTAGAAGGGGTCCTGGGAAATGAACTCTCCTTGGTGACTGGACCCAGGGTGACTAGCCCATTTTCTGTTGGCCATGACCGTTTGAACTCAACACATAACTCAGAAGAAGGAAAAATAGCAATCTGGTTTTTATAGGGTACCCTGGGAGATGGTACAGCCTGTGTTTTATCAGCATATGTTCTAGAGTCAGGGGAGTAATGCAAACTCTGCCACTTACTGTGTGACCTCAGGCAAGTTGCTTAGTCTTCTTTCAGTTCAATGGCTGCTGTGGGGGTTAAAAGAGATAATGTACATCAAGTGCTCAGCAGTACATCAGGATCCTAATAAGCAATCAATAATGACAGTAGCTAATCATTCTTGTCAGGTTAGTTGATTGGGGAAGCCCAAAACAGATCTGGGACAGCCAGAAACCAAAATAGGAGATGGACACCTTGGTGCCTCCATCCGGTCTCTGGAGTATATTATTTACAATGCACATTCACAATGAAGATCTCTCTCCTCTACCCCATTTCTCTTTCTCATATAATCTTTCACATTTTTCTTCCATTATCACACTTCTAACCACCATCTGTCCATTTTCCTGTCATCTGACATGTGAATTATGTTCTTGAACATTTTATGAGCGTCACAGTTTGTGGATATTTTATTGTATCTCTCAACTCCCCAAATGCATTGAGGAAGGCCTCACCTTAGTGGCCAGAGTCCTTCAGGACCTCCTTAGGTTTTAGAACTTGAGTTTTGTGCTAGAGTCATCATCTCCCCCCATCAATCTATCCTAGTCAATGAATTTAAATGATTGGATAGGGAAAAAGGGAAAAAGCACACAAAAATGCAGACAAAATGATTTAGTTAAGGTTTCTGGAAAGATTTGGAACATATATACACACATATATGTATATACACACTTACATATACTCTATTATAGAATATGTAATAGTATACATAGAATATGTATTTTATCTGTTTATATATATATTATCAACTGTGGATGCATAAAAATATATAGTTGTATATTAATGTACCATAATATACTAACACATTAATGTATTAGTAGATAGTATATTATATAATATGTCAAAGTATTTATTAATAGGTAATAATATTACTATAAAATATTTATATGTGATATTTAGGTGATTATACATACTTAAATCAATATGTACACTTAAGATGTACGATACTTGGTAAAAATGACATTTTATTGTGAAAAAAAACAGGCTTGCCTTGTCTGTCCTTTGGAGGGCAAATTCATTTTCACAGGGAGTTAGGATGAGTCATTGTCTGGGAAGGGACGATGCTTGGATGGAGACTTTGATCTGTTCAGTCTTGGCTAGATCCTTACCAAGTGCTGAGTAGGTCCCCTCCATTTTTAGCCCCTCTCCTTTTTGCAGTGGGCAAAGGTGCAACATATGCAGCCAAGGAGAGAAATGAAGAATGTCCACATGCTTCTGCTCTTTTCAATGCTTATTCACTCAAATCACTCCATACAATTTCACTTGATTGGTTATTAATCAAGAAATTGACAATCCTTAATGCTGGGCACTGCAATAGACATAATCAATTAAAGCAAAGAATTCTAAGTTAACTCTAAGCACTGCAAACACACTTAATCATGACAGACGTATTACAGACATCCCCTCTGCATGCTAAGCTCAAGTGCCAGATCTAAAGTCTTAAGGCTTAGGTCTTAAGTCCAGCAGATGCACACTCACTCAGACTGCAGTGATCACATCAGCAACCAGTGGAGGCTTCTCCTGGTGTGGAGTGGACGGCTAGCGGAGGAGGTGGTCATGAGGAGGTGTCGCCGATCTCACTAGAGTCAAGAGGCTGCTGTAGAATTTGAGAGCAGTCAGGACGATGCAGAGGATCAGACAGGTGATGAGAAGAGTTGGGATGTCAGTCCAGGTCCTCATCAGGCTCTCCAGCAAGTGGGCATCAGTGTCAGCTGGCTGAATGTCTGTCCTTTTACTCTATCATTTATACTAAGTTTTGGAGGTTCTGCTCACCCTTTGAGTCCCTATCAGCTGTTACCAGGTTTCTTAGAGATGTTTTACATTTCAGAGCCAAGCCATTTGGTTTGGTGGCTTCCACCCTGATTTTACACTCTGATCCTTTTCAGGGTTAAAGCAAGTGATGTGTTTATACTAAGTGACTTCACTCTGACTCTTGTCAGGGTTGTGAAAGTGACTTGTTTATACCAAGAGGTTTGTTTATGATGTGTTTACCAGGCTATGCCTGATGATGTATTGGAGGGCTCTATAGGCTTGTGCCTGGGGAGGATGCAGGTTTTTAAAATGGAGTTGCTTAGGCTAAGGCCTAAGGCCATCCCTACACTCCTCCACTCACTTATCCATTTGGTGAACCCGGGAGAAGGAACTAGACTAGTGCAGCTCACCAGCTGTAACCCTTCACCTATTGGTGTCTACCTGTTCAGCAGGGAGAATGTGTTGGGCTCTACAGTTTGTCTTGTATGGGGAGGGGGAGACCCAGGTTTTCCAATGTTCCAAAATTCGAGCATGTTTAATTTGGGAGTGACATACTGGCACGTGGCTCCAAACCTAACACTATTACATTTCTTCTGGAGTCAGGGGATTTATGCAGACTCTTCTACTTACTGTGTATAACTTTTCTAAAAAGAAAAAAACTTCCATTAAAATTTCAAAATATTATCTAATCACAAGCTCTTTTTTTGAACTATGTTTTTTGTTATATTATTATATTATTTTATTTATTCTGTGATGCTGAGGATTGAACCCAGTGCCTCATAAGTTCTAGGCAAATGCTCTACCACTGAGCCACAACCCCTAGGCTCAAGCTTTTGGGTTCAAACATATTATGCCTTCAATAGATAAATGTCACACTAGAAAAATAAATGATGCTATGATATATGTCAAATTCTGATCACCGTTTAAATGGTTGTTCACCATGGTTTATTTGTACATGTTTCATGAAATGTAAAATTGCAATGTATGAGTTGAGAGCAATATAAAACTTGGCTAACTTTTAAAAAATGAAAATATTTTCTTTTCATGCTCAGCTTTGGCTGCAGAGAAAGATGGGACACCTGTGTTCAAGTTTCCTAGATGGAGGGTCAAGGGCAAGACCATCAAGGAGGTGGTGGAGGCCTACAGATCTGTGGGTGCCGAGCTGAACGTGCTTCCCTTTTGCACGCAGTTCATCCCCATGGATGTCATTGATCACCCCAAGCACGGTTCCATCATTTACCACCCGTCCATCCTGCCCAGGCACAGAGGAGCTTCTGCCATCAACTGGTGAGGTTTTCAAAAATAACAGATGCTGGGCCTATTTTCATTGCCTATGGTCTGTTTTTTTTTTTTTTTAACCTAGGTGATCAATAAACCAGGTATGCTTGAACAATTGTGAGGTCCTGAGCAGTTGCTTCTAGTACATGAACTCCCCCTGAGATCTTGACATACTGCACGAACCAGGACAGCATATCCTACAAGAATAGTCAGTGGGAACTATTCCAATGACTGTAACTAGGCAAACAGAAGTTCTGGGGTCAGATTATATTGGTTTATGCTGGACTGTTTTGTTTTGTTTTGTTTTGTTTTTGTTTTTGTTTTTGTGATACTGGGAATTGAACCCAGGGCCTCATATATGTTAGGCAAGTGCTTTCCCACTGAGCTACATTCCTGGACCTTATGCTAGAATTCTTTATCAAAGGGCTTCCTTGAGTTTTCACTGTGAACTTTAATTTTGCATTATACTCTCTGAGAGGGAATCTGAGTATAATGTTCCACCAAAAAAACTTGACCACAATTTTTTTTTTTTGCATAGAATGTTAAACACATTCCAGAAAATGCTGTATTACCTAAAATTATCTTCTTCATTGTCCATGTTCACCCATTTGACTCTAAGCTTCTTGAGGGAAGGACTTTGTGTAATGTTTTTATGGCTATTTTAAGAACAGTGCCTGATACACTATAAGTACTCAATACCACAGTTCCATGGTGCTGTGGGTTGATGGGCTTTTCCCACATTTTTTGGCCTTCTTTCCTTTGCCTGCACATCTTCTTGATATCTCTCAGTGTCAAAATTACTAAATAGGTAGAAAATCTACACTTGGTTTAACTGTGATGAAAAAATTTCATTGTATTTAAAGTTTAATTATGTGAATTGATTTATTTTTTGCTTTTATAAATAATCCTTTCATTGCATTTAAATTTGCACTTTTTAAATTTCACATTGTTTTCACGTGCAGAATCATTGAGTCAAAGCATATAAGTATTTTCAAAACTCTTAATAACATAATACCAATTAATTCCTCAATAATTCTGAAAAGAATGATTTATTGGTGAAAGTCTTGAACAGTAGATCAGGGAAGTAAAAACAATTTAGACTGTAGGCTTTGCTTACTTACTACTTCATTCTTTCTCTGTGTTAATCTATTCTCTGATGTGTAATTATAGGTATTTGTCCACATATCCAGCCTATTGTTTATGTTATAAGCTCCTCTAAGACCAAGCAAAGCTTTCCTCTTAGGGTAAATTTTACAGAGCACAAAATACCAATAGTTGTATTAATCAACTGACCTTTACTACAATTTATGTAGACAATCAAGAGCTAATTCTAATCCTAAGTGACATTTATACCTCAATTATAGAACCCAAATTAATAGCTCTCCTGTCCACATTGCACGGAGTATTTTTTCCCCCTTCCATTTCTTTTCTAGGACAAGGTCAAGTGCAATGTAGGAATTGGACCTCAGTGTACAAGTGACTTAGTCCTAAAGTAGAAAACTGACACTTGGGAGTCAATGAGTGGTAGTAATGATGGACTCAGAAGCCTTTTGAATTTATTACAAGTCATTACCATATATTGACAATAGGATGCATAAAATGGCAGTACCATCAGTGTCACTTTTTATAAGCTCTGACATCTCCCATCTCTACTGTTAATTTCTTAATAAGGTCACTTCATTCACTGTCTGCTTTTCCATTGTAACTACCTTGTCCTTTAATATCACTAAATCTTTAATGTTATAGTCAAGCAACATTTTAAGTTGAAACTCTTCTTTTCACAGGACTCTAATTATGGGAGATAAGAAAGCTGGGTTTTCTGTTTTCTGGGCTGATGATGGTTTAGATACAGGACCCATCCTCCTTCAGAGATCATGTGATGTTGAACCCAATGACACAGTGGATGCACTTTACAATCGATTCCTCTTTCCTGAAGGCATCAAGGCCATGGTCAGTATGTCTGTGCCATCAAGAAGAATTTAGGAAACCTTTAAGTTTTGGAGAACTTTTTTTCTTGTATTAAGAATTTGCCATGTGATTTTCACTAAAAATATGAAACCTAAAAACAAAATTATATTTCATATTTATAGTGGAAATTTGAATTTAAATTTTTTTGTCTATGATGCTGACTTGTTCCTGCGAGCAGTGATTACATGAATGAAACAGCAATTAAACTGCTCCACTATTTTTTGACAAATAATACTTGAATTTCCAATCCTGATTATAACGACTAATTGTAAAGAAGCATACAGAATCTTAAAAGTTTTGCTGTATAATTTGGATTTCTGTGTTAGTCAGTTTTCCATTTCTGTGACAAAATACCTGAGATAAAAAACTTTAAAAAAGAAAATATTTATTTTCAATCACAGTTTTGGAGGTTTCAATTCATGGTGGTTTGGCACAACATCATGGTGGGGAGCTTGGAGGAACAAAGCAGCTGCTTTGTGCAGCCAGGAAGCAGAAAGAGGAAGGAAGCAGTGTCCCAATATATCCTACAAGGACACATCCCCAATTGTCCATTTCCTCCCACTAAAAAACCCTGCCTCCTAAAATGTCCATCACCTCCCAACAGTGCCATCAGCAGGGGACTGAGCCTTCAACACAGGAACCTTTGGGGGACATTTAAGATCCAAGGCATAACAACCTCCTTTAAATGTATTTCGAGTTAGTCTGTATAAAAGGGGGAATTTAGGGTTACCTTATTTATTCAGATGTTCTCTGGGTAAAAACCCAATGCCTGTATATCATGAAATAAAAATATGAGCTGGCAAAACCATTGAGAGAATGAGCAAATAATTTTCATTTCATTCAATTTTTCCAGAGTTTCGTAGTAGAAGTAGCAAGATTATATAAAGTAGTAGCCACTGATTTAGGAGGAAGGGGAGCAATGCTTCATATGTATCACCTAATGTAGGGCTTTGGCATCAGAAAGACCTGTTTTCAAATTCACATTCTACCACTTGTAGAATGACACTGTTGTATGACAATAAGCAAGTCACTATAACCTCTTTAGTCTTGATCCCCTCATTGATAAAATGTGGATAACACTGCCTGACTCATAGGATTGATGTGAAAATTAAATAACATTCTCTGTATAAAGTACCTGGCACATAGCAGGTGTTCAGAGGTGATAATTACGATCAAATAGTATTATGTGTGTTCAGGTGACATTTGCACAAGCCCAGATACTGTATCTGAGGTGCCATAAACTTGGCTCTGTTCCCAGATGGCTTCCTCCATGTGTTCTTGGGAAGGTTGTTCAGCAGCTGTGAATCCTTAGAGAGAGAGAGATCTGAGAACATGGGCATATATAGGTCTCGAGTGAAGGGGCGCGCTCTCAACTCAAGGCAAATATAAAAATGCCAAAGGGAGAATGCAAGACACATTCCAAAGGCAATCACACTCATGGACAGATTTAACTTTTTAAATTCCAGGTAGAGTAAGCTAGAAAGCAAGTTGAATTCATGGATTACATGAATTCATTTATCACATTTTCTAGAATCATCCTGATGAGTACAATAACCCACAATGACTTACTCTATAATTATATTCCTGAAATACATTGAATCACCAAGGAGGGAACTGAAGCTTGTTTAAACAGGAGTCTTTGTGTGTGTGTGTGTGTGTGTGTGTGTGTGTGTGTGTGTGAGAGAGAGAGAGAGAAAGAGAGAGAGAGAAAGTTGGGACTTGAACCCAGGACTTTCCATGTGCTAGCACATAATGGACCACTGGCTATACCTTCAGCTCCAGACAGGAGTAATTTTCTTTATTAATTATTTTTAGTTGTCAATGGACCTTTATTTTTACTTATTGAAATGTGGTGCCGAGAATCAAAACCAATGCCTCACACATGCTAGGCAAGCTCTCTACCACTGAGCCACAACCCAGCCCCGGGAGTCATTTCTGAGTGCAGGCTTGGTAACTGGCAATGGACACACCTGAATGCAAATCCCACTTCTGACACCTAGAAGCCATCTCTGTGCTGTTTAGCTAGTTATTCAGCTCTGCCTTGAACCACAATTTCCTCACCCATAAAACAGGAATAACAATATCCATTTTGTGGAATTTGCGTGATGTTTGCAAAGGATGTTTTACATGCAGTCATGCCCATTTGATGTGCTTGGCACAATAGATGAATCTGAAGAAATAGCAGTTATCATCACAGCCGGACTCTCTCTGAACAGATACGATTCTGTGATTCTGTTCTGCACAGACTTCAGTTAAACAGACCACGCTGTTGTGGATCACTGGACTGTAACACAGCTGATGTTTCTGGCTTTAGGTAGAAGCTGTCCAACTCATAGCAGACGGAAAAGCGCCTCGAGTTCTTCAGCCAAAGGAGGGGGCAACATATGAAGGCATCCAAAAAAAGGAAAATGCTGAGGTACTTAGATCAGCTTGAGAATCCATCTCAAAGTTCCTGGCCCTCTCCCTTTGGAAGTTCCCAGGGTACTATTTCCTGGCAAAAAGGTAGACCTTGGAGCCAGCCCATCCCAATCTTACCAGCGACGGGGAGAAATGTTCCTGTTGCCTGTGAGACTCACAGGCTGTGTTTGTGCTTCCTCAGATTTCTTGGGATCAGTCTGCTGAAGTTTTACATAACTGGATTCGAGGTCATGATAAAGTCCCTGGAGCCTGGTCGGAGATAAATGGACAGGTATGTTCTGGACTCTATTGTCCCTCATAACCTTCATCAGAGGTACTACAAAGAAGTCCGGGCTTCCCCTGGTTCTTCCCTTGGGCATGAGCCGATCCGTGATTTCTCTTTATTCAGTGTGTAGTTGGCATTTATTGTAGGCACAGCCCCTGCTCCTCGGGAGGCTGCGGTTTTGTGGAGAAAGCAGAGACGTGAATAAACACAGATGCTGCTGTCAGATAAATGCTGTGGCTGAGACTCAGACTCCAGTATGTTGGGAAGTGCTTCCTTGAAAAGCTGGTTGCTTTGCTAGAACTTGGACATGAGTTAACCAGGGAGAGAGCAAGACAAAGAGATGAGGTCCCAGAGGCCGAGGAGTCCACCTCCTTTAACAGGAAGATCTGTACAATGGGATGAATAACACTGCCTCCCTGTAGGTTATGAGGTCTTGTGAAGATTACACGAGTCAATACATGTTAGTTCATGTAAGCACTCAGTCCCTGGTACAGAGTAGTCAGTCAATGTTATTTTAGCTCAGGAAATGCCAGCCAATAGTCACAGACTCATAATAACCAATCAGTTAGAGTCAGAGTTGCTCTTGGCTGCAGTCTGGATCTAGCCTTATTTCCATGAACTGAGCCCAAAGCACCCTGTACTTCCCATCACTTCCTGCCCTGCACTGTGGGAGTCTGTCTGTCCGTCCCCTCCCTGACACCCTCCCCCAGCATCTGCAACCCCTACCTTCAGGCTACAGAGGCTCGTCTTTGTATCAATTTCAATACATGGTGAATGCTTACTTGTGTCACCTGGATGTGGGGCAAGTTTTAAACTGTTCAACTGTGGGGTGTGTGTGTGTGTGTGTGTGTGTGTGTGTGTGTGTGTGTTAGTTACCCCGGGATAGAACCCAGAGGTGCTCTACCACTGGGCTACATCCCCAGCCCTTTTTATTTTATTTTGAGACAGGCCCTGGCTAAGTTGCTGAGGTTGTCCTCGAACTTGCAATCTTCCTGCCTCAGCCTCCCATGTCTCTGGAATTACAGGCCTGTGCCCCCACACCTAGTTTATGCAGAATGTTTTCTTGCTTGGTGCCAATTTATATTGATGCTTGATACAGTCTCTCACATATATTACAGATACAAAATATATCATGTAATTATGTCTCACTTTTATTATAGATGATAATTCAAACTCCAGCATTTCTGCAAAGAGCAATGCTTGCACACACCCCTGTGAATGCCTTTTACTTCCTGATTTTACAGTCTGATTTTGATCTCTTTCTTAGATGGTCACTTTCTATGGCTCATCATTACTGAGTAGCTCTGTGCCTCCCGGAGAACCGCTGGAAATTAAAGGTGCCAAGAAGCCTGGCCTTGTTACCAAAAATGGACTTGTTCTTTTTGGTAACGATGGAAAAGCTGTGAGTGTTCAGCATGGTCACCTGGGAAATATCAGTTTCCTTCTCTAACCCTAGCTGTAAAGGGAATCACTTTTACAGGGTCGTCTGGCTTTGCACTGGGTGTGGGAAGCTCAGGATATCTGAACCATTCTCCTCTGGTGAGGAGCTGCCTCTCTGTGCCCCCATGAAGACAGGCTCTTCAGGATGAACCTGCCCCAGAACCTGCAGTCTGTTTTGTGATACAGGAGAAGACTTTGGACCCTAAGAGCCAGGGGTTTGAACTCCTGTTCTACCGCTCTCTGGACTTGGGCGAGATGGGTCACCCCTCCACAACTCACGTTCTTCTTCTAGAAAGCAGAGGGGAATCCACCTGTTTGCCTCCCACTGCCCACATCCGGGAAGATCCATCAAGATGCATGTGGCCCTCTCCTGATGTACACTGCCATTGCTCACTAGCCAGGCACCACCCACCCTGCCATGCTCAGAAGCGTGGCTCTAGGCCTCAGTGTGCTCTTGGGCAGCTTCCCAATGAACAGTGTGAAAGGGAATTTGTAGCGTAAAGACATTTCCCAGTTACTGGGGACAAATCATTTGTTAAGATGGTAGACTTTAGGGCTGGGATTGTGGCTCAGTGGTAGAGTGCTTGCATAGCACAAGCGAGGCCCTGGGTTCGATCCTCAGCACACATAAAAATAAAATAAAGATATTGTGTCCAACTACAACTAAACAAAAATTTTTATAAAGATGGTAGACTTTAGCATCTAGCTAGTTCCAGGTCCTAATGACAGCTCTGTTACTTACTATCTGAGTGGCACTGGGCCAATGAATCAACCATATTGAGCCTCCATTTCTGCATCATAATAATAGCATCTGCCTCCATTAGGATTTCTGAGATTAAATAAGATATTTCAGCTCATATACACTGTGCAAGAAAACAGAGCGAGGGTTCACACAAGGATAGCCGCAGACTTGTAGTTAGTGGCAGTGTCCCTTGTTGCTATAGTAGATTCAGTCCAATACCTACAGCTAAATGTCCATTTTTCCTGGTCTTCCTATCCATTTTGAGATGTATCTGCTCTAGACTTGAGTTTATCCTTCCTGATGCAACCATTAAAGTGCCTTATCAATTCTTTTGCACATGTGGAGAGTATTTATTTTAAATACATTTTTGTTTTTATCAAACAGACTGGTCTTTATTACCATATAATAAATTAGATTCCACCACGCTCACTTTTGGACCATCTCAATCTTCAATTTTTATGTTGCTTTGCTGCTATTTTAGCTGATGGTGAAAAGCTTGCAGTTTGAAGATGGAAAAATGATTCCTGCCTCCCAATACTTTTCAAGGGGTGAGACATCAGTAGTAGAACTTACGGCTGAAGAGATGAAGGTGGCAGAGACCATCAAGGTGAGCATGTGATGTCCTTCCGATTACTCTTACCTTGGAAAGATGTAGCATATTCATAACTGGTATCATTGTCCTCCAAGTTGTGGGGTTGAACGTTTATTTCCTATTTTTATATATAAGTTGCAATAGGAAATTGACTCCAAAATTAATATGCTTGAACGTAGTGTATGCAAATTTTCAAGGCAGTTTTAGGTTGGCTTGGAGGGCAGGGGTGAAGCTGGGGCAAAGGCGGGGAGTGGAGCCCCAGCCCCCAGAGTTTTTTCAAGGTCATTTCTATTACCTGCAGCCAGAAGGGTGATAAAGCACAGTCCTGCATGGAGCAGGTTTTCCATGGCCAAGACCAGGGTGTGTGGGTCACTTGCACTCACATTCTATGGCTGCATCTCACTGAAGGGATGCTGGGAAATGTCGTCGAGCTGTAATGCAAGATGAAGAGGAGACAGGCTGTAAGAGCTGGCCTGTCTCTGCTACATGGTTCTACATGTGTCCCACTGGCAAAGGTTTCCCTTTCTGTGCAGGTCATCTGGGCTGGAATTTTAAGCAACATCCCTGTTATTGAAAACTCCACCGACTTCTTTAAATCTGGAGCAAGATCAATGGACGTTGTGAGGTAGAACCACCCCTGCTAACGCACAGGCCTCCATGAGGGATTCTGACTTTGACTTTGAAAATCGAGTCCCAGTCCTTAGTTCTGGATGTCATCACCCTTTTCAGACCTGTCAATTGCATATCTCTTCATTTTCTTGTCGTGGTTTCCAGGACAGACACATATATCTATATCTTTACGTCTCTTTGTGGCTAACCAGAGTTGTTTTCTTTTTTTTTTTTAATATTTATTTTTTAGTTTTAGGTGGACACCATATCTTTATTTTTATGTGGTGCTGAGGATCGAACCCAGTGCCTCATGCATGCTAGGCGAGCGCCCTACCACTGAGCCGCAGCCCCAGCCCCAGCCCCCAGAGTTGTTTTCATCCCTCCTTTGTACCTAGACAACCAATCCTTCTAATTGTCTGATTTTCCTCCAGCATGACATTGCAGTTGAGCTCTGGGTGAGAATGCTAAGCGGGGATTTTTCTATGCAGCCTGACCCAGAAGGACACCCGACATTGATTACACTTGCCCCCAAATCATTTTCTCACATCCCCCCAAATTACCCAAGTAGAAAGATCTAGAATGAGGGTTATCGGGCTGCCATTAGTCAGAGTGTCTCTACACAGGTTTACAGTGAGCTAAAGGGCTGGAGTCACAGCCTCGCTGTGGTAATGCAAGTGCCAGGATCCTCGTGGTCTTAGCAGAGGCTTTTCTTCCCTGAGTAACTGGGATAATGAGAGGCTGCTAACTAACCAGGGCCGGGCCGTCCTTTGATGGTGGGAGCAGAGAACAGAAGCTAAGGGTGTTTTGATCTCAGGCACACTGTGGTCATTCACTAACTAAACAGGTAAAAAACTGTCCTCCTCATGATATGGTCCTTTGTATCCACAAAGCATTATTCTACCGTCCCATCCCCCAGCTCTGGTACCGGAGCAGAACCCAGGAGGCTTAACTGCTAAGCCATATCCCCAGCGTCCCCACCTTTGTGTGTGTGTGTGTGTGTGTGTGTGTGTGTGTGTATGACAGGGTTTCCCTAAATTGCTGAGGCTGGCTTTGAACTTGGAATCCTCCTGCCTTAGCCTCCCAGTTGTGGGGATTATAGGTGTGCACCACTGTGCCCAGCTCCAAAGCATTTATTCTTGAATATTCTATTTATTAATTTATTCCCTTATTAATTTATTCCCTTATTAATTTAACAAAACTGATTGAATACTTACTACATATCAGGACAGTTGGGGATAAAGGTGCAAACTAGACCAAGTCCCTTCATTCATGGAGCATTGATTCCTGAAACCAAAAATAATCATTTCAAGAGCATAAAGCATTATCAGAAGTCAAGAGTTTTGGTTCCTCAAATTATAGATTTCTCAGCAATGATTTATAAATTTCTAGAAACTTCTAACTAGCTTAATAAAGATTTCAATAGTGTATTCTTAATACTATTTTTTTTTTTTACTATCTAGATGCCTGCAGGAATTATTCATTTCCTGTTTGAGTGCCTGACTTACCACAATGATCTGATATTAACATCTTGATAACATCATCTGATATCATTACATTGAAAGCCAAGGCACCTCATTTCTTAGAGAATCAATAATTGAACAAGAACTCTGCTGGCTTTCTACACTTAACCCAGTACACCATTACCATCCAAGAGCTGTTAGGGAACAGCTGGGATTCAACAAATTAGCCGGAAATCAAAGGATCGAAGAGGGGCTTCAACAAAATCATATTGACCTACCATGTGGTTCTAAGCTAGTCCCTATGTTAAACATGTAATACGAATAAATGACTGTTTTGCTCTTGTGCATAGTCTAGATAAACTGTTCTATAATATTGATTTTCATTTCTCATGGTCTTTATAGTTGGAGAATTGCCTTTTTTTCTTACTTATTCTTTGAATTCATTTGAAAGGAAAGTTAACGGACTTTAAGTGAATAAAGTCAATCATGGGTAAAGTTAAAAAAAAAATGTCACTGTCCTTTAAGACAAATTTTTAATTTTCTTGCCCCTAGTCTTAGCAACCTCTGTGATTATTATCACAAAAGATCTCCTAGGACAGGAGTAGGCATAATACAGAAGTGTCACTTCAAAACAATTGACAGACCAGGTGTGGTAAAGAACGCCTGTTATCCCAGCAGCTCAGGAGGCTGAGGCAGGAGGAGTGCAAGTTCAAGGCCAGCTCAGCAACTTAGTGAGGCCCTAAGCAACTTAGCAGGACCCTGTCTCAAAAAATAAAATGTGAAAAGGGCTGGGAATGTAGCTCAGTGGATAATCACCCCTGGGTTCCATCTCCAGTACCCAAAATAATAATCATAAAATAAAAAATAAAGAAAAAAATCAACTTGACAGATGGGAGGAATACATTTCCCCAAAACTCTTTTGAAAATGTGAGTAACATGAGCTGCTTCTTAACCTTCAGGCTGGTTGAAGAGATCAGACAGAAATGCAGTGGCCTTCAGTTACAGAACGAAGATGTCTACATGGCCACCAGGTTCGAAGACTTCATCCAGAAGGTTGTGAGGAAGTTACAAGGAGAAGACCAAGAGGAGGAGCTTGTGGTGGATTATGTAAGCTTTCCCTCCATGATTCCACTCTACCTCATTAAGATGCGTATGCTATAAAAGAATGCAGGAGCCAGGTGCAGTGGCCCACGCCTGTGATTTCAGAGACTTGGGAGGCTGAAGCAGGAGGATCGGGAGTTCAAAGCCAGCCTCAGCAACAGCGAGGCACTAAGCAACTCAGTGAGACCCTGTCTCTAAATAAAAAACAAAATAGGCCTGGTGATGTGGTTCTTTGGTTGAGTGCCCCTGAGTTCAATCCCTGGTACCAAAAAAAAAAAAAAGACTACTGGGCTTTTCATCCATTTGCTTTATATTTATAACCTTTAAAAATGGCTTTATTGAGATATGCAGATACCATAACATTTCATCACTTTGAAATATACATTTAAGTGTTCTCTAGAACATTCTCATCAGACTTGTTCAATCCTCAACCATCATCTAATTTCGGAGTATTTTCATCACCCCCAAAAGAAAGAACATACCCATTAGCAGTAGTCTACTCTCTTCCCCTCATCTCCTTCCTCCAGCCCAGGAAACCACTAATTTACTGTCTCTGGATTTGCCTGTTTAAATCATTTCATATAAATAGAATCAGGCCATTTGTGGCCTTTGTGTCTGGCTTCTGTCACCGAGCATAATGTATTCAGAGTCCATCCACATTGTAGCAAGCATCATAACTTCTATCCTCTTTCTGACCAAATAATATTCCACTGCATGAATAGACTACAATTTGTTTATCCATTCACCAATTGAAGTACATTTGGGTCCCCTCCCTTTTTTACTATGATGAATATGCTATAAAAAAAATTCATGTATAAGTTGTTGTGTCCATGTTTTCAAATCTTCTGGTTATATACCTAAGAGTAGAATCAATGAGTCATATGGTTGTCCTACGTTTAACTATTTGAGAAACTGCTCAACTGTCTTCCTAAGCAACTACACCACTTCGTGATTTCTCTAGCAAAGGACGAGAATTCCAATTCTCCATATCCTCACACTTGCTGTTACTGTCTTCTCTTGTAGCTGTCCTAGTGGGGGGCAGAGAGGTGAGGATCTCACTGCGATGTGGATTTGCCTTCCCTGTGACTAATGATCTTGAGCATCTTTTTGTGTGCTTACTGGGCATTTGTATATTTTCTTGGATAAATATTTATTTGAATCCTTTGTGCATTTTTAGATTGGATTATCTTTTTGTTGTTAAGTTATGAGAGTGCTGTGTGTATTTTTGATCCTAGAACTTCATCAGATATGGATTTGCAAATATTTTTTCTTGTTCTGTGGATTTTCTTTTTTACTTTCTTGACAGCACACACAGCAGGTTTCCATTTTGACAAAGTCTGATTTATCTGTTTGTTTGTTGCTACTTCTGGTAACGTCTTTTATTCCTTTATTCCTCCTCCTTTACTTCGGCCTTTTGTGTTAAGCAGATTCTGCCTTCCATGCCATCTTAATCCCTGTTGTCTCTTTCACTGTGTCTTTTAGGTATTTCCTTAGTGGTTGTCCTGAGGATTACAATTAGAGTTTTTGCTAAAAGCAATCCCATTCAGATTCACACCAATGTAATACCAATACTGCAGGAAAACTCAGCCACAGTATGGCTAGACCCCGGATAAAGGTGCAAACTAGACCAAGTCCCTTCAT